ACTATACCTAGAGGCCATTTGAAACAGTGGAGTCACCAATAAAAAGCTCAAAATTTGAAAATCATGTCACCAAACAGAGCACGAAGTGACAGCTGTGTACAATATGAGACTTGAAACAAGAAGGCAGATCTTAGCTAAGTATGTGCTTGTAGTAGCTCAAATATTCTATGCATGTCTGAATATCATTAGAAATATCATAAACCTTGATTGTGATATTATAAATAAATATAAATATTAGGTGACTTTGTAAATATAGAATCTTAATAATCAAGATTTTCTATAAATATTCACATATATAAGCATAGCTTTGAATATGCTAGCTTTATTACAGAATGTGATTCATTTAGTCATGTAACTTCAAAATATTTCCATGAAACTGCTAGATCTGTTGTATTCTTATGAAGTGATCCTAGGGATCTACTATAATTTAACCATTCAATTAATGTTAATATGTTTCACTTTCCTTATTGGTAAATAGTAATAAAAATAAAAGATTAAATATGTATAACATACTGCCCTAAGCACTCAATAAATGCAGTAAGAAGAAATACATGGACTTTGGAGTCTCCTCCCTCACCATCTATGAGGCTTTATTAAAGTACTGAGTCTCTAAGTAATTCTTTTCTGAGTGGAGTTTATGTACTACTTTATTATTTTTGTGACAATAAAATGTTACTTATAAATGCCTAGCACATAGTAGGAAATCAGTGTTTTCTCCATAGATCATGGTTTCATGAAAATAGTGTTACTTCATAAAATGATGTCCTGGAATTAAAATCTGCTCTTAAAAATCTATAATGTACTGTGACAGGTTTGCAAATTCAGGTCAGAATAAAATGAATCAAAGAAAAAAAATCCTAAAGTTAAACTGAGAAGGAAAAAAATCTATTAGTTGGTAACGTAATCGCACAGTAGGAGAAAAAGAGAGAGCTGAAAGTTAATACAGTATCTGTGAGTTTCATTCTATAAGCAAAGGAATCTTACTTGTATTAGTGGCCTGGGTATAGTAATTCTAGGACTCTTTGTATCTTTGTTTGGTTCGTTTTTTTTTGTTTTTTTTTTTTTGTTTTTTTTTTGTTGTTGTTTGTTTTATTGAGACAGGGTCTCCCTGTAGCTCCAGCTCACCATGGATCTTGCTATGGAACTCAGAGACTTTGCCCTGCCTCTGCCTCCCTAGTGCTGGGATTAAGATGTATGCCACCATGCCCTGGCTTTTTTGTATCCTTTTTAAATTAAGCAAATGAGTAATTCTGTAATTCTGCACTGCTGGGAATCAGGGTTTTCTTGGTGCAAGAAAAGAGATATGAAATAGGATAAAAAGAGGAAGAATTCTCTGGGAGCAAGGTTAAAAAACTGGAATTGGCATCAAAGAGGTTAATTCATGGTTTTGTTTAAAAAGTATATAGGGGATGGAGAGATGGCTCAGCAGTTAAGAGCACTGGATGCTCTTGCAGAAGACCTGGGTTTAATTCCTAGCACCCAAATGGCCCCTTACAGCCATCTGTAACTCTAGTACCATGCGATCCAGCACCCTCTTCTGGCCTCCAAGTAGTGGTGCACATACATACATGCAAGCAAAACACTCATACACATGATATAAAATAAGTAGCTGGGTGTGGTGGTGCATGCCTTTGATCCCAGCACTTGGGAGGCAGAGGTAGGCGGATCTCTGTGAGTTCAAGGCCAGCCTGGTCTACATAGTGAGTTCCAGGACAGCTGGGGCTACAGAGAGACCCTGTCTCAAAAAGACCAAAAAAGTAAATCGTTTAAAATAAAAAAATAATAAGTGTGTATATGCACAAACCTAGAAGTGACATGTTGGCATTAGCATGACTGATCTTGTATTTCTAGCATAACCTGCCATTAAAAGGAATTAAGGCTTCTTGGAGAAATGAGGGACTCCAGAGCTGTGAAAGGATGAGCCTGGGAATCTTGTATGAGAACGTAAAGAAGTGGACAGTGTGCTGGGCCTGGTGGCACATACCTTTAATCCCAGCACTAGTGAGGCAGAGGTAGACAGATCTCTGTGAGTTTGAGGCCAGCCTGGTCTACATAATGAGTTCCAGGCCAGCTGGGGCTATGTGTCTCAACAAAAAAAAAAAAAAAAAAAAAAAGTGCTTAGTGTCAGATGGGTATATTCCCACTGAAACCTGGGACAATATGAATATCAAAGCAAGTGATGCTAGTAATGAGGAGAGCATTGATCCAGGAGCACATGTGGGTCTAAACAAATAAATAAAACAGAAGGAGAGCATAAAAGATCTTTACAATGAGTGACAGTTAACAGCTGTAGAAGGAATCATAATTAGGAAATCATCATGATTTGGCTAATTCTTTCAGCAAGAATTAACAGTATCACTAGGTCCAGGTCTTTTGGGAAACAGGTTATTTAAATAATGTCAGACCATCTCCCCATTATCAGTTTATTAATTTCAGAGGTAGAAAAGAACAACTTTTTTCTAGAGAAATTTGGCAAAGTCTGCCTTATCCACATGATGAAAGATGACCTCATTGATACAGGACAAACTGATGCCGTGTGCTTGTGAGATAATACACTTGAAGGACACAGAGTCACTTCTGTAGTACTCTGCCAAGATTCTATAAACTGCATCTGCTCATGAAGCAGTCAAGATAACCCAAATTTAGCACATACTGTATTTTTCTATACTCTGCAATAAATCTGTGCAATTAGAAAACAAAGGAGCTGAAGATTTGTATCAGTCCAAGAAGACTTGGACTTGCAGTATGTGATCTTGGATTAGATTTTAGATGAATGGTAAAGTGATTGATTAAAGGATTATTAGGAAATCAATGTTAAATTTCCTGAACTTAATATATAGTGAGAGTGAGGATGTAACTCTGTCAGAACATTTGCCTGCTCATGTACAAGGCCCTGGATTCATTCCTAAAACCACAGAAAGATAAATATGTGTGGGTTGGGGTAGAGAGAGAGAGAGAGAGTGTGTGTGTGTGTGTGTTTGGTGATTATTTAAGTGGGTATTCTGTTCTTAGCTGAAATGAGTTCAGTAATTTAGATATATAAAATCTGTAAGTAGTTACACATGTATGCAGTAACAATATATTAGATAAGATGTTAGCAGCTGATTCATCTAAGTGAAGAATATCTATGAATGCTTGTTGTAGTCTTTTTTAAAAACCTTTTTTTACCTATTTTTTATTTTATGTGGGTGTTCTAGCTGCAAGTACACCCATGCCATGCAATTCCCACTGAGGCCAAAAGAGGGTGTCAGATCCCCCTGGAACTGGAATTTCAGACAGTTGTTAGCTGCTGTTTGGGTGCTGGGAACCAAACCCAGGTCCTCTGCAAGAACAGCCAGTGCTCTTACCTGCTGAGCATCTCTCTAGTCCCTTATTTTAGGTTTGGAATTTTTTTTTATTTTAAGGGTTTTTTTTTTTTTTTTTTTTTTTCAAGTAAAGGAATTTGGAACATTCAGTAAAGCATAGTAAAGAAAAAGAATTCTAATCTTACCTTCAGAAATATGCTTTGTTAGTATTTTGCAGTATTTCCTTCTATTCATTTCTATGATATGATAATAGGCTTCTCTAAATCTTGGGTTCACCTCAAAGGAAGAAATATTTCCCCCTCAAATTTAAAACAATAATAGTAAAATTTTAAAAATAAAAAAGAATGTATCATTCTTGAGGCATTATTTATTTCCTTCCAGGAAACTGGCATCCTTGACAATGTTATATTCTATTTCTGTTCTTTACAAGATTAAAACAAATTGGACCTAAAACCATTAAATAGAATCAGTCCAATTTGTTTTTTCCCTGAACTGCATGGCAGTGTAACTTGTTATGGCTATAGTCATTTCTGATGGCACTTACCAGAGCTCCTAGCTAGCCATTTCAGCAGTAGGAAAATCATTTATCACGTAAGTACTTAATTTATGTGCTAGAAATCTGAAGCAGCTGAGATCAATATACTAACAGACCAAAATGAGGCATTGGCTGGTGTGAACTTGAAAATGTTTTCTAGAGGTTAATGGGGGAAAGAATCCTTTAGATTAATAGGCTTCACCTTTTAAGAATGCCCACTGCCTTCTGGAGGCTGGAGCAATGGCCCAGTGGTCAAGAGCACTGACAGCTCTTGCAAAGGACCCAGGTTCGATTCCCAGCACCCACATGGTAATAACCAACCATCCATAACTTCAGTTCCAAGGGATCTGACACCCTCTTCTGACCTCCACAGGCATTGTATGACATGGGTGCACCTACATACATGCAGGCAATACACATAAAATAAAAATAATTAAAAAAAAAGGAATGCCAACTGCCTTCTAGTATTTATCTGAGTAAAAGTAGTTGATTATTCTTATAGCTTAGACATAGCATAAAACTTGTTACATAGTCACAGAATAGTGGTATTGGCTATACAAAGGTACTCTATTTGTTTTATGTCATTCCCTCTATCATCTACATTTTCTCTCAGTTCTCTGATAGTACTTTTAGCTCTGAAGAACATATTGATTTTAGCCTACTTTCTGAAGATCCCTTCCTTGTAGTTTTGTTGTATTTTCATTACCAAAAACATTTTAGTATGTCAGAAGCACTAAAGAGATAGAGGGGTGGAATTTCCTTAATGGACTAGCAGAGGAAACATCTTGTAGGGGAGAGATGAGAAATCAATATTACTTAGTTACTAAAGTTGCAGTCTTTCTGCTAGGTAGTCTCATGTAATTGCATTTCATCTGTGCAATAATCTGAAGTAAACAGGGTTGTCGCAGATGTATAGTTATGAGGAAAGGTGCTGACAGCCAAGGAGGCCAATAGTCCCCAGTGCACACTGCTGCATGCCTTCTCTTTAGGTGTTGTGAGCTGGAGGTAGAACGGAGATCACATTAGTAGGGTTTAGCTAGTTTTGAAGCCTGACATGATTTTGGTTTTTCCTTTGCACATGCTGCTGGTCACACTAAGTTTTCTGTTCCATGTTGAATTTTAAACTTAATGGATGAATTTCTTTGTCTTTTCTTCACCAGGCTTTTCAGATGTGGATCACACCTATGCTCAGAGAACTCAGCTCTTTGACACCTTAGTAAATTTCTTTCCTGACAGCATGACTCCTCCCAAAGGCAACCTGGTAGACCTCATCACTCTGTAAACCAGGAAGGCAAGTTGAGGAGTTGCTGTGCTCAGAAGTGGAGATGAGTCCCGAATTCAGTGTTTGTATTGGTGGATGTGAAGTTGCAGTGACTGAGGACTGCATCAGAGTTTTGAAGGATCCTTATCATCACAAGTTTCAACCCACTTCCTTCATACCTGACCTCAGTCCCCTTCTCATATTCCTGCATTAGGCTAATAAAGTGAAATTGGTATACTTCCCATTTAATTATGTATATTTTTCTTTAACCTTCAGAATTAATAAGTATTAACAAAAAATAAGCAGTTTTTCTTTTCCTAATTTTTAAATTTCTATTTTTAATTGAAGGAACAGCATTGTTAATGCTTGGTACTATAAGAATTTTGGATTTTGTTTTTGGATTATTGTCTTTATTTCTTTTTTTCTCCTTTCCCTTTCACTTTTTCACATTACACAACTGCTTGTAAGTGGTGTCACTGGTTTGCCTCTTTATTCTTAACAGGTTTGTAGTTCTGTAGGACTGTTGATGTGTGTTAAAGTGATACATGTGTCTATGTTAACTTTTCTTGTATTAAACAGTAGGATAGAGGGCTCAAATTCATACTTCTTGCCATACCACTAAAAAGTGAAGCTCAAGATTGACCCAAACGCTCAATCAGAAATTGATATTTCTGTAATGATGTTTTTTATAGCAGATACGACAGTAGCTATTGACTTTGAGTCCCAGAAACCTGAAATGAAGACTGTGGTTCAGAAACTTTAAGAGCTCTCCATTAATGATTAGCTGGATAGGAGAGCTCCAGTCACGATTCATATGTTCATTTATGTCTTTGTAGGAATTTGGGAAGAAAATTACTCTTTCCTCTGGTAGCTGTGCAAAGTCAGGGCTCTCATTTCTCTTGTGGGTTATCTTTTTGTAGCAGTTTTATCTGGGAAGATGGGTTTCCAGAGCTGTGCTTTCATTTTTTCTAATATGTCTCTCTGTATATAATGGTATTTTGAAGAGTAGTAGTTGTTTGTTGTCCTTTGCCATACCACTGACAGGCATTTCATTAAGCACACAAACCAGGCATTTTTAAATGGACTAAAGGAAAGAAAATAATAGTGCAAAGAATTTTTCATGTGTAGTAAATTGCCTTTTTCATTTTTCCATTTTGTATATGCAGAAACAGAGATATGTACCCTCCCATTACACGTTGTGGACTGTAACACAAGAAACCTGTATCTGATTAGTGTTCCCATTTGCTCCAAAGTGTGCTGTATGCAGCCGATAGCCACCATGTTGAAAGCAAGTTCTGTGATGTCCATATGCCAGCTATTAGGAGTGATTCACTATGAAATTGACCCATACTTTCAAAAAGTGTTGTGTATAGGAATGAGACAGAGATGTCTTTTCACTCCGCCTTTACTATGTGGTTTTACTTTTGAATATGAACAGAAATACATTTTTGCCAGTTGTAGACTTGAATTGTGACTTTTTAGCTTTATAAGCATCCCAAAGCAATCACTAGTGATTTATTAAACATTTAGGTCTTTATCTTACCTTGTGAAAAGTGTGCTATATAGTTCAGCAGGTACCAAATTGTATAAATATAGAATAATCAGTTGAATGTACATTTGAGTAAATTCATTCTATTCACAGACATTTGTAATTTTATAAAATTACTCTCCTTAGTAACAGCCAAGAACATAAAATATATCATTAATGTTATAGCTTGGAGGATCTCTTTTTATGGGGACAGATACAAATCAGATAGTTGACAAAGAAGAACTTGATAACTGCCAAAATGCAAACACTCTAGCTTGGTTACTGTGAATTCTGGCACTTTGAAGATAATACCAAATGGATTTCTACTGCCCTTCATTATTTGTGTTTACAATGCTTTTTAATATTTCTATCAATTCCTCCAACTTGTATTGTTTGTAGGAAATTCATTTCTTCACCTCCATGATTTTTTAAACTACTTTTCTCATATTTTTAGATATATATGCCTATTTTAATTTCATCTTTCCTCACTTTTATTTAGCTAGAAATTTTCCTTTGTTTCTGGAATTTTTCTTTTCTACTATCATTTTAAATGGTTGAATCACACAAAACCACTTGGTGAGATGCATTCACTCACCGAAGAGGTAACTGACTGGATTAAGTCCAAATCTGTGCCTTGGGGATTGAATAGGGACTACCAAGAGTGACTTTAGAAAGTGTAGGGCCTTATATATCCAGGACCAAGATTGACATGCTGATCCCAGCATCTTACATCAGAACCCTGATTAAAAACTTGTTTAGATATTTAGTAAGGGGTAACAGCAGGATTCCAGAAGAATGTTATCACTTAAACAATAAAATAATATTTAGTATAATTAATCCCGAATTAAGACACTTTAGCTGATGCTTGAGACACGTTCCTTATTGGGATATAGTTTCCTTGATTTTAATCCCTAGCTTCAACCTCACTTCAGTTTCTCTTTTCCTAGTGGAATATATGATTTTCAATCAGAAATAAACTAAATGTCTGATACTATGTTCAGCCCTTGTATTTCATAAGAATTTGATTTTCAAATCACAAGTGTATTTGCATTTTATTTATGAAATGACAAGAGTCCTCACTTGGTCAGTTTGATTAATTCAGTTGTATCGCGTGTTCTTATTGCAAGGAAAGAAATTTTAGAATCAGATGCCTACCTCTGTTAAAGCTGACAAGATTAACCTTTGTCAGAGTCACCTTTTCAAGAACTGGAGATGTATCTCACTTGGTAGAGTGCCTGCCTAGTATGTATAAAGTCCTGGGTTTGATCCCCAACACCATTTTTTGTTGATTGTTGTTGTTTTGGGTTTTTTTTTGTTTTTTTGAAAGCATGGTGTTGATCACTTATAATCGTGGGACATGGGAGGTGGAAACTGGAGATTCAGAAGTTTAGGGTCATTTTTGGCTACTTAATGAGTTGAAGAAAAGTCTGGGCTGGGCTACATGTTACCCTTTCTCAAAAAAGAAAAAGAAAAAAAAAGTACCTTTTCAGATTTGGTTTCCATCTATGCTAAAACTGACCTATCTATGTCTAGTAAGTAAAAGCTGGCGAAAAACATTGGAGAGTCACTGATTTTGTTGTAGAAAAATTTGTCAGATTTAGGGTTCTGTAGTTTATGTTTACAAAAGTATATTCTTGGGTGAAATATATATTTGTTTATAGGTGTTGGTAGCTTGTTGTTCCAATGGATCTCTCCACATCTGCTTTAAAAGTGCTACGTATAGATACATATTAACAGTTTCATGTAATAAAACAGGGCTATAAAATCTATATAAATAGCCGGGGCGTGGTGGCGCATGCCTTTAATCCCAGCACTCAGGAGGCAGAGGCAGGCGGATCTCTATGAGTTCAAGGCCAGCCTGGTCTACATAGTGAGTTCCAGGACAGCTGGGGCTATAGGGAGACCCTGTCTCAAAAAAGACCAAAAAACTATATAAATAAAAACTAGCTTGAGGCACTTAACCATTTAGTGAGAGATTTAGATTGTTGCTTAATGGGTCAAAAGGCACTTGAAAGTATGTTCCTTATTTTATGTTCTTATATTGTGTTTCATGGCAAGTACACAAGCTACTATGTAATTACTGTGCTGTGTTGGATAATTGTGAGTCCTTTATTTCCCCAGTGAAACTTGTATTCAATCCTTAGCTGGTTGAGTATCATACAACAGTTGGGAATTACAGTTTGAAGCGACTTCTTGGGAGGAGAGGGTTATGACAGTGTGCCCTCTAAACAAAGTCATATAGCTCTTTTTTTAAAATGCCCTCCCTGGGGCTAGAGTGATGGCTCAGCGGTTAAGAACACTGACTGTTCTTGCAGAAGACCCGGGTTTGAATCCCAGCACCCAACACATGGCAGCTAACAACTGTCCATAACTCCAGTTCCAGGGGATCCGACAGCCTCTTCTGTCCTCCGTGGGCATTGCACGACACAGGTGCACTCACTTACATGCAGGCATAACACTCATACACATAAAATAAAAATAGTAAAATATTTTAAATAAAATCAAATGCCCTTCCTAACACTTTCTTTAAAAATCCTTGTTTATCTACAATCTCATCCCTTTACACAAATTCTAAGTTTTAGCTAGTCCTTGGTCTAGAATGTGCAAGGCTCTACCAGGAAGGGAAAGCTTCTGTAGTTGTTGGAGGGATATCATAGAGGTCTACATATGACGGTACTTAATACATTAAATCTCTGGACTCTTTAATGCAGATTTTTTTTCTATAGTAGGCAAATAGTAATTTTGTGTGTGTGATTTTTGACGGACTTTGGTGTCTGTGGTTTGTCATAATGCTGGCATGACCTGGCTACCAACACTCCTAGTGTAGAAGTATGCCAGTTGAAGGTCAGAGTTTCCGCATTTGCTCAAATTATATGGAGCTGACTCAACTGATGACAATGTCATGTTTTGCTTATTTATGGGGAGGGGATTATTGCAATATATTGATGTCTTCATCAAATGCTCTTCTTGTTTTCCCTGATAATGCCATCTCAGATTTTATTTTTACATGACCTTTTAACCTTAAGGTCACCCTACTCACCAATTACTATGAATTGTGTTTCCTTTCCCCCCCCCTTAGGTAATTTAACTTTAATTCATTACTTTTTTAGCCCTAGACATCCTAGATTTTTCTATGGCATTGTTTAAAATCATTATACTGGTTTTTTAAAAAATTGATGAAATTATTTTAGTCATACATGCTCTATTCTTGTTTATGATATGAGAATAGCGAAATTTAAAATTGTCTATTATTAAATAAGTAATAACATTTAGTATTGTTATAAAAATGCATATGCCAAACCATTTTCATTTGGAGTTAATGTCTGTGGCAACTTTCACCGAGGAGCCTGAATTGACTTCCTTTTATAGTATGAGGAGCTGTTGCCATAGCAATATTGGCAGAATACAGGTTTTATAAGAGAGCTCATAGGACTCAACATACCACCACAATTTCTATCTACTTGTTACTTTTCTTTTTGTATTTTTAGCCAACTTTTTTCTGTCCCTACCTCCAACAGTAGTATTGGTTTTCTGCTGAAGTTGAAATTTGTGTTAAGAATAGACTTTTAATTTCTGATACAGTTTGAATATTAGGAATAAATTTGCCACAAAATGATTGATATTCCATGTTTTCTCAAATGAAAATACTATAATGTCTCCTACCATAAGATTATGAGCTTAGATTCCATTTCAAATGGCAACATTTCATTCTCAGTTAGAGAGCTCATGAT